GTGTAGTGGTATAGAGTGTACTTAGCGTGCAAAAAAAAGGCCCTGGTTTCAATCCCCAGCACCAAAAAAAAAAAAAAAAAAAAAAAAAACCCAGAATTTTTTTTTTTCATTTAACCTTTATTTTGTTTTTATGAGGTGTTGAAGATATAACCCAGGACCTCACCTGTGCTAAGCAAGCATTTTACCACTGAGCTACAACCCCAGCTCCCCATTTTTTTTTTTTTTAACGGTGCTATGGCATGCTAAGCATCTTCTCTCCTTCTGAGCTGTGATTCTTTTCACTAAGTTCAAATGACTTTATTATGCCTTATATCTGGCAGTGTGTTGTTTCAAAGTGAGATTTTAAACAAACCCCTTCAAGTATCCTTTCAAAAAAATTTTTTTTTAAATATTTATTTATTTATTAGTTATTGGCGGACACAACATCTTTGTTTGTATGTGGTGCTGAGGATCGAACCCGGGCCGCACGAGGTAGCAAGGCGAGCGCGCTACCGCTTGAGCCACATCCCCAGCCCCCCAAAATTTTTTTTTCTGTACATGAAGTCATGCTAAGGACTGAGTTAATTTAAGGCTTTCAAATTTTACAATGTGTTAACTAGGTTTAGGGGGGTTAGTTTCCTTAGATGCAGTTGAACCTCCACATTTGTCTCCTGTTATTACAGAAAACCTCCATAAAGACATTCAACCAAATAACTCATTAGATTCTTATCTTCACTTTGCCCATGCCCATTTAGTTTCAAAAGGAAAATTTGAGTGGTTGGGTGAACATAACACTGACATGAGATTAGAATGGCCCCCACAAGGATAATGTGCAAAGCATTCCCCATTCCGAAAAAGAATGAATTCTTTCGGAAGTTTTGAGTCACTAACTCCACTGTTAATGTCCCTAATTAAGGCTTTCCCAGGATGCTTCCCCCCAAACCCCAATTTGTGTAATTTAAGTATTAAATAATTTAGCTTTCTTTTAAAGAAAAAAAAGACAAATGACTTAGTGATTTTTAAATTGCTGGGTTTTATTAAGATATTGGCAAAATTTCAAACATATTCTTTACCTGAATGAACAGTTTGAATAAATAAAATATGAAGGATCACTCATGATTACAACTGAACTCAAAAGTGATCTGTACAGCAGGTTTGTAAATTGATAAATTTACTTGATAAATATTCACTTCACTCCATAAAGAATTCTTTGCAGAGAAATGACATGAACAAGAGAAAGCCTGTCTCTCACCAAAGAGCACCTAGAGAGTTAACAATGATGTATCTGGATTATTTAATACATCAAAGTTAATTTGAAGTATTTCCTTTTCAATAGTAACTGCTATATCAGTCTGGAGTTCCCTGTCCTATTTCATTTTTTTTCTAATTAGTAGAATAAATATAGTCTTCAGAATACATAAAATGCTGCTGGAGGAAGTAATTATTTTTTCAGTACAGTACCATATGTCTGGAAGATAGCTGTGTTGTAATACTGGCAGTATTTAATCTTTTCACAGGTCATGCTAATTTATGATCCAAAGAAAAATTTGTCCCATGATAAGGTGTGAACTAAATTGTAGTATCTCCCCTTCTATGGCTTGAAAATGCTCATTGAGTGAACAAATTTTTAAAAATTAAAATAATTGAGGGCTGGGGATGTAGCTCAGTTGGCAGAGTGCTTGCCTCTCATGTACAAGGCCCTGGGTTCAATCCCCAGCACCACACAAAAAATTATTGAGATCATTTTCTCACAAATTCTCGGCAAGTACTTGGGGAAAGAAGTACTTGACCACAGCAGTCTTATCTGAAAATGGGTCATTTTCATCTGCCCATTGGATGTTGTACTTCTTACTGGCACAGTGTTCCAACAATGGAGTGTGGTTGTCATGAAAATGCAGTGTTGATTCTATACCACTATAAATGTGGTCAGAATTTACTAGTTGACATTGACATGATTGACATTGTCCTTGGTTAAGGTGTTAACTTTCAAGGAGCCTCCGACTTAAAATTAAATGTAATAGGAACTCTAGTCGCTGTATTTCAAGGACAATGGATGGCACTTCTAGGTAAAGAAAAGGTATATACATGTGTTTCTACCTGACCCCTGTAGTACAGACCTAAATGGGATTAATAGCCCCAAGTATTTGGTGCTGTAATGTTGCCTAACCTCAGATATCCCTCAAAAGTACACATCTAGAAAGTGAAAAAGGAAACCTTTAAATTAGGGACTGACGCCCCTTGAAACTCACAGTGAATGTACAAGGAGTTTATAATAACTTCAGATGGTGACTTGAAGTCTGTTTCCCTAACCAGTACTACACTTTTCTTGTTTATATTTGTTTTGTTTTTACTATTTCCTATTCTAACAAAACTTGTTTAGCAGGCAAACAAATTGATGCAGATCATGGTAAGTTGAAAAAGGGATACTGCCACTCTTTATGGATTGAGTGTAGAACGTTCACCACCACTAAATTACACGATGAGTAAAGGTACAAAACACATAATTCAGACTATACCTCAGCATTAACAGTTAGTGTATATTATACTTTTATATCTATTATTTTTACAATCACCAGATACACCATCATTAAATACAAGTTACAGAAATGTGTAGATACCATTAGTTAGARGGTTACTTATTGCTTACGTTAGCAAGCAGCAAATAAGGGCACAGGATTTTAACTGAAGGGAGCTACTTTCTATCACCAGTGGCATTAATATTAACACTGCATTTCACAAAGCACTGCTTTTTATCTACTGTATAGAACCAAGAGCAGCATATATCAGACCAATAACCACTACTTTAATAATATGTGTTATAGAATTTTAAAGGACTTACCTTACAAATGGTACCTAACTACCCTATGATTACGCGTATTGTGAACAAATGAATAGTTGCTATTTTTTACAATATTGGTTTATTGACCACACTAGAACTACTTTTCTGTTTTCTAGAGAGAGCTAATGATATGAGAAATGGAGTTAACACTGCTATATAGTCAGACCTACAAAACCCAGACCTTTAAAAATGTAGGTTTGTCCCAGTTCCATCCAACCATCTTTTTCCTCACTAAAAAAGCTTATCATTGTAACTTCTTCCCTTTTGCCAAATCTGACCAAAAGAGACAACTTATAGAAAGTTCTTTTTAAAAAAAAAGGCATTTTGGACTATAATGTAAACCAATATTCTGCTGCCTGTTTTTTGTTTCCTTAGATAATCTGATTTGAAACTGAGACTGCATCTGAAGGGTTGTCAACATGATCTAGGCTTCAGAAAATGATATAAGTGAGGTACATGTATGGGGCAAAGCATCAGAATGATGAAAATTTGTAATATATATAGCTGGAGACGTTATATTCTCTCCTTTTCAACCATGTGTCACAAGACTGAGGAAAGAATAAATTACTTGAGAGTCAAGAGAAAGCAAATAATGAAAATCTCTACTTAACATCCAAATTTTAAAAAATAAAATCTGTAGATTAACAATCTGATTGTTGCTAAAGTGTTTTTGTTGTTGCTAAAGTGTTTGTTTGTTTTAATTACTTAATATAGCTATATTGGCCCCTGTAATATGCTACAGTCATCTGTGTCTTTGTCTCATCTATGTTATGGAATTTTAGTCCTACTCCCTGGGTCTAGGGAACATAAACCAATTTTATCAGCATGTAAAAACATGATTGGTGGACAGTTAGTACATTCAGCTTGCATGAGCGATCAGTCAGTACAGCAGGGCTACTCCTTTCTGTGGGCATGGCTGGTCCCTAGTCAACTAGGAAAGGGCAACTGGGGGACTCCATGGTTCTGAGAATAAGAGGGTGCTGTCTTTTACTGGCTTAAAACTGCAGAAATAGCAAAATTGTCAAATAGAAATAAATATTGAAATAAGCGCACATCCTGTCCCTGCAGTATGAAGTTGCATGTACCTTATTTCTATTGGCTCATATCTTCCAATTGTAACTACACAGACCTGGCTCAGTAATCTGCATTTTCCTTTGCATTTGGCATCTGTGTTCACTTTAGGCAGTACTTTCAGCCTCCTGCATACCAATTACTTCATTCCCTTGGGAAAAACAATATTAGAGAAGTTAAAATGGGCATTTTTCATTCTCCAAAGCCACTTTTTATATATTATAGTAGTACATATCTTTGCTATGTGTGAACTTAAAAAAAATGGTATTTAACTTTCTTTTTAAATGGCATTTTGATTCTTGTGTATGTTTGTACCTGACATCATCTCTATTAAACCAGTTTTATTCCTGAGATGAGGTACAGTGAAAACACATTAGCATCATAGATTAAAACCAGCTGACAGTGGTCTCATAAAATGACAAATAAAAATTCCACCAAAAGCACCATAACAGGTTATGAAAACTCCCAAGTAACTGCTGCCCTAGGAAATATTTGATTCAAAATRTTTTATGTTACAGAGAAAAAAAAAGTCAATAAATCTTTGACTGTATACTGCCTCACAAGCCTGAGAATATGACACTTTTACACTAGTTTTCCACTTTCATCGTTACCAGTTAAAACCCATATGGCTTTTAGCCTTTCACCTGCCAAAAAAAAAAAAAAAAGGTTGGGGGGATCTTTCTTAGTCCCCAGGATCTTGAGGGATGGTTCCCAATTTAGTTCTTCATTGTTCTCTGTAAGTAGATTAGGCACATCAGACCAGATTTCAACTGAGTTGAGATTCAACACTATATATTTCAATATATCCTGACTGAAATAACTTTCAAGTTTCCACTAGTGACRTGAAGGGGTGCTGGAGAGGGGACGTATGTAGGTGTAGAGACACATCACAGGGACCAGTTGTATAATTTTGCTAGTGAAACCGCCAATACTTTTTTTTAGATTGAAAACACTGTAATTTGAGTTTCCTAGAGATCTATTTACATTTAAGAATTGAGCCATCCATGGATTCATACTGAAGCACATGTGTTTAGAAATGTCTACCTTGTTTCTACTCTGATAGTGTTTTTAATTGAGGGATAGCTAGCTAGCCTACTGTAAAGAAAACGTATTATATTTTATGGCTCCAGAGAAGATCTGCATATGGAATATCATTACCCTTTCTGAGCTTTCTCATTGTATTTTCACTATACCCTTTCCAACTATTTTCCCTCCATGGCACATAACTTCTTAACATCCTATTTCTCTTCCCACTTCGAATAAGTGTGGACAGGCTGATGCCCATTTTGTGGGAAGGCTCTCGAGCAGAGAGAAATGAATAAAACTTTGGATTGAACCTGAATCCGTGCCACCTTTTGAAGTAGTAGTGGCGTAAATGATACAATCTAGAAACTCTTTTTCCCAGGTATTTGAACTGTTCATTTTCCAGCCCAGAACAGACAAGAGCCAAGCTCTCCATTCTGTATATCTGCTGCCCTGGAAACTCTCCAGCACCATTCCGTTCAGGCAATGATGATCGAACTGATTTTTCCTTCATTATTAACTCATTAATAAGATTTGCTTGCTTTGGTGCACCAAGACCAAACATCTCAACTGATGGCAAAATCTGGGCACTGTGAGGTTTGGTTGCTTCTATTTGTGTGAGATCTAGGTAGCCTGGGTCTTCCAGCACGTTGATTTGGGACCCTGGGCTCAGGCTAGTTCTATCAGTGAATGAATCCACACGCCCATCATAGCCTAGATCGGCTGGTGCTGAGCACTGGTGCTGAGGCCAAGGGCGTTTGCACTCTCCATGATTCTCCTTATCATCCCCACCATCTTCTTGCCCTCCTTGAAAAGAGTTCTCTGTCCAATCTGATTCCTCACTAACATTTACAGCTTTGTTCATGTCCCTCAGGAATACCACAATAACAGTGATGTTATCACTTGACCCAGCATCACGAGCTGATGCCACTAATTTGTGGGCAACCATACTGCTGTCTCCATTGTTCTCTTTCAGGTGGTCAGACACAACTTTCACTGCCTCATCAGGGTTCACAGTATCATAGAAGCCATCACAGGCCAGAATGAGGTAGTCTTCTGTCCCATCCAAAACAGTAGAGGCGGAATCTGCATCCCCACAGATATATGGCTTGTGTTCAGCATCTCCTGTGGGAATTAAAAAGTGGGACCATCAGAAAGCAGACATCTGATCATATTTTTAATAGAAAGTGGACAGGGGAGGTATAAGGAAAGCAAAAGATGGAAAACAATGGCTAAAAAGTGTCTTGAACCCAGGATGCTTTACAACTGAGCAATGTCCCCAGCCCTTTTTAATTTTGAGAGAGGGTCTCACTAAATTGCTGAGGCTGGCTTTGAACTTGAGATCCTCCTCCATCAGCCACCCCAGTCACTGGGATTGCAGGTATGTCACCATATGCAGCACCCTCTGGGATTTAATGAAAAGAATTTATCAAATAATTTTAGATAAAAATTTCTGTTAATCAGATTCTGCTTATGGTTTCATCCCAGTTAAAAATTTGCCAGTCACTGAGCTTCATTCCTTATCTAGTTTATACTCTGAATCTTGTGTTCTGGCTATTATTTAGGATTTGCTGAGTATGGCAGCAACTAATATCAAATCTAAGTTTGTTGCTGTACTGAGAAATTCAGTCCTTGTTGACTTAGTAGATCAGTTTTTTACTGATGGTTAGGTTTAATTAAACTGTGACTTGAAAAACAAGTCTACAGTGAAAAAAATAAAACCAAAGTTCTGATCATTCTCTTCATTAAAYAATTTTTGTTCTATTCTTATTTATAAATCAATAAATAGCTTCATGTTGTGAGCATAGAGAAAGGTCTGAGTTACAAGGGATTTTGAAATTCAAGTGTGGCTCCCTCAAGCCAGGCCTCACACAGGGAACCTGAATGCATGTCTCCTGGTTCCAAGTCCGCCTGGATTTCTAGTTTGTAATGCTGCTTTATTTGACTTCCAGAGAACACACACAAAATATACAACCATTTTTTTCTTCAAATTACCATGTTCTTGCTTTCTTCATATATCTCTGATTACCCCCCTCTATTTTTATTGTTAATCCCCCTACTTCTTAACAACTGTGACACTATGCACCGCCCCCAGTCCCCAAGGCCCTACTGGGCCTTCCTTTCTTGCCTTGCTTAGTTCATTTACTCACAGAATGAATTTTGAGCTAAGCCTTGAAGAATATGTTAGTTATCACTAGGCATTTYCCCCCTTGCTTGCGGGAATAGCATAAGCAAAGACACAGGTAAATGTTGGGGAGTAATGTGTACATAGATAAACTAGAGACCTTGGGCCCATGTTTCTATCACCATATTACTAAGATCACCTACATAGTCTTTGGTGCTGGGCATGGTGATGCACGCCTGTAATCCCAGCTACTCAGGAGGCTGAGGTAGGAGGATCTCAAGTTTTAAGGCCAGATTCTATAACTTTAGTTACACCCTCTCTCAAAACAAAAAATAAAAAGGGCTAGGGATGTAGCTCAGTGGTAGAACCCCTAGGTTCAATCCTCAGTACCACAAAAAAGAAGCCTTTGGAACTTTGAGGTTTAGAGCACTAGCCAGCTGCATTCATTGTTTTACCTTTGTTGTTTTTCTATAGTTTAGAGCCTAGCTGGTGTCCTCAACCTCTCAGCGCTAGAAAARAGAGTGGCACATAACTTAGTGGTTAAGAACACCAACAATGGTGTCTAAACTGCCTGGCTCCAAATTCTAGCTCTTCCAATTAGTAATTATACAACTCATTAATTACTGTCTTTTCCATTACACTAGAATAAACTTTCTGACTAGGGGAAGATAAAATGAAGATAACTATACTTAAGTGACCTGGCTATGTATTCATTGTTCCTCATATCTGTTATAGGTTCTCTCTTGCTCAAAAAGATTCCTTTCCAACATTTTACATTTTTGTTTAATCCTTAAGTAGGTCCAGAAAGTGCAACAAAAACCTCGTGGATGACTCCTGGAACCAATGTAGTCAATATGCTCTACCTGTCCAGTAGTGGCATGGCTGGATATAAGAAAAACAGACAAATTACTTAAAATAAGATCCTAGTCTTATAAATGCTCAGCTTCACCACTTCTAGACTCCAGTGTGTAACTCCCTCACATCCTACTCCATCTCATGGCTCTTCTCCATTATTTCTTTACAGTATAGTCAAAAACATCTTTCTCAAGCACAGTTTTGATTTTACCAGTTTCACTTTTCTTTTTTCTTTTTTTTTTTTTTTTTTTTGGTACTGAGACTGGCCTTGAATTTGAGATCCTCCTGCCTCAGCCTTCCAAGCCACTGGGAATATAGGCATGTACCACTGCGCCCAGCCAGTTTCACTTGTTTACTGTATTGCCTGTTAAGAGCTAATTGAGATTTCCAGTCATTGTTTTCACTGTCCTTCACTAGTCCACTTAATTTCTCCACTGCACCTGACTGAATTACCATGATTTTTTAAAATTCCACCTCTAAAAATAAATGTGATCTGAGTCAAACTGTTCCCCAAAATCTTGTTTTAGTACTACAATTAAAAGACTACTGCAACTGTTAGTTTGGAACAGAACATACAAAGATTTGCACAGAGAAAATGCTGCCAAAATTCTGGATTTTCACCTGCTCTACTGTTGGGTGTCAAATTCATGACATTTCGCCCCCAAATTTGGTAGGAGGGCATGAACATCCATCTCATGGTAGAAATGACAACATCCTTTGTCTTCAAACCTCTCCATCTGCTAGGAAACATACCGTGCCTCTGTCAACTTTGGATCATAAATCTGAAGGGCTCATAGAGAGAAACAATAGAAAAGCTTATCGTTTATTTTCTAAGTAGAAGTAAACCCTGCTCCTTAGCACTTTCACTTTTCCCTCCTTATTTAGCCCTTGTTTTATTCTATGAGTTTTCAAAATCTTTCTCAGATTCTTCAATTCCATAAATCCAATAAGCTACTGGATTTTGATAGATGGACTTTTTTTTTCTTTTCATTTTTTGATCCCATGGATTGAACCCAGGGACACGTAGCCACATACCCATCCCTTTTTAAATCTTGAGATGGCCTCAGTAAGTGGCTGAGGCTGGCTTGGAAWTTGCAATTCTCCTGCCTCAGCCTCCTGAGCAAGAGATTCACCTATCTCCACTACCATTTTCTCAGAGTCAGAAGTCTCCTTCTCCTTTTCAGGACTAACCTGTGTGCTGGTGCTGCCTCCCTAGGTTTCTGGCTACTTACTTTCTCATTTTTACTTTCTCCTCTGTTTACTCTTTTTTTTTTCCCCTATGAACAGGCTCAAATCTAAAATGTCTTCATCCTAAAAACAGAAGCAGTGGCAGCATCCCTTCYCAAATCAGTTTCACCCCTCAAGCCACCACACTGTTTCTTATCTCCCCGCTCACAAGTAACTAGATCTGTACTGGCTCCCTTGAAATTTTTGCCTGTTTCCCCTTCCCTGATTGTTTTTTGAACCTGATGATAAGTTTTTCCACCTACCAATCTAAACTGTTTTTTTCAGATATCACCAATTATTTTCAAATATTAAATCCAGATCATTTTTAAACTCACTTCTCACTTGACCTCTACAGTACTTGACACTGCTGACTGCTATCTTGTAGAAATCATCTTTTTCTAGCATCTCTAATATCCTACTTATGTCTCTGTTCACTTCTTGATTGTCTTCACTGAGTTGTTAACAACAGTGCTAACAATCACTGTATGCTAAGAATGTGCCAGGCTGGTTCTAAGTATGGTGCCTGTGCTACATCATTCAATATAAAAATTTCAGGAGCTAGGTATTATTTAATTATTGACATTTTACAAAGGAGCAGATAGATACAGAAATTTTCCAAGATCCACAGGTTGTAAAGTAGCAGTCAAGATACAAACCCAGGAAACCTGACCATGCAATTCTACCTTCAGTAATGAGCCTCATCTTGGGGTCTTCACACAACATATATTTCTTGGACAGTGTCATCCATGCCTATAGTTTAAGCTGTTTGTATTTATACAATGACAGTGATTGTTAATATCATCACTTAAAATGGGATGAGTTCCCAGAGCTCTATCTCCAACTTAGAACTCTCAGCTAAACTCCAGATCTGTATTTCTAACTGCATACTAATTCTCATCCGAGTTATCCCCATAGTTACCTATAATATAAAATGTATCCAAACTCATTATCTGTTTATCCCCACCACCAAACTGCTGCTTTTAACAAATGTTCTATCTTTCCAGTCACAAGTAGAATCCTGGAAATTAGCTTTCCTCTTCCCCACAGCCTCCCAGTCTGTCTCCCTCCTCCATATCCTCAGCCTCCTGAGTGACTTCCCTGCTAGGCTTTTGCTATTCTAATCCATCTTCTGTAGTGTAACAGCATATATCTTTATAAATAAAAACCTGATCATGTGGCCCCTCTGCTTATTCTCCTGGTAGAGTCCAGACTACTTAGCCTTGGCTATAAAGCCCTTCACATTTGGCAACAACACTTCTAATCCTTTACCGCTCTCCCGTCTGTTCCAGCCTCCTGTGTTTGTTGCTATTCTTAAAACCCATCATGCCCTTTCAAACTCCCRGGTATTTATAGTCCTCTCTGTACCTGGGATTTCCTTTCCTAAACCCTACCCTCCATCCAACTCAAAAGTCACTTCCTCCATGACGTTTACCTTCTTAGATCGTCATTTAGTCAAGGACACTCTTCCCCTACTTTAGTTTCATCTTGTGTTTTATTTTTAGAATTAAGAAAGGGCAGGTATCCTCTCTAGTATATCGGTTCTATAACAAGCACTAAAGATACCCCTCAATCTTCTGACAAAGGCAAAATCAAGAAGCCACCTTTGGTTACAGTTGTCAAAAATAATTCTATATAGGAGTGTATTTTAGAAATGAGAATTTTGGCCTTATTCCAGAGGTCTTATTAACTCCCCCATTATAAGGTAAAAGTAACTCAGTTTTTCAGGAGGTATTTGTAGAATCTTTTAGCTCTATTTCTCTTTCAGCCTTCTGGTGCTCATATTTGGGCCACTTCACAGCTTGCCATCACCTTCCTAAAGAGTGGGAAGAACTCAAATCAGTGGTGAAACTAAATCAATCGTTTCAGATTTTCTTACTGTTCTGAAATTTTTGGGTGGTAATAACTAAGTTCAGGGATTAGATGTGAACTATCCATATTAACTCTATATCCAATTACTTCATGTCTTAGGAAGGCAGAGACTAAAAATTGCAATATATATCATCCATGTAGATGCATCTTGATATATTCTCTTCTAAAAACTGAGAAGTAAAGGTAAACCACAAGCCTAAAATAAAAAACCCAGGGCCCAAAGTAAGACAAAGATGGAAACAGCTTTTTTTTTTTTTTTTTTTTTTTTTTTTTTTTTTGGTGCTGGGGATTGAACCCAGGGCCTTGTGCATGCAAAGCAAGCACTCTTCAAACTGAGCTATATCCCCAGCCTCCAGCTTAGTTCTTTGAACTTACACTTGTACATTTTGCCCAATCAGCTGTTTAATTTGTTTTAGACAGTTCCATTTTCTTCTACCCTTTTTTAAACAATTTAAGTCCTAGGATTTAGATTCTTTAAAACCTCAGTGTTATCTGAAAAATTACTATATTCCATGTTTGGAAAATGGTTTTCACTTAAAAAGTACAATGTTTTCCCCATGAATTCTGTTATTTATGTGATTTTTAAATTAACTGAAAAAAAAGTAAAGCTATAAACAAAATAAATATGGGTGGGCTGGGATGTGGCTCAAKCAGTAGTGCGCTTGTCTGGCATGCACAGGGCACTGAGTTCGATCCTCAGCACCACATAAAAAAAATAAAATAAAGATGTTGTGTCCACCAAAAACTAAAAAATAAATATTAAAAAATTCTCTCTTAAAATAAACAAACAAATAAATAAATAAATGTAAAGCTTTCCATTCTCTGGAAAATACTGGTTAAATATGACCCAAAATGGAATGAAATGAGGATCATTGTGATTTTAGGCAGATTTGTACACTAACAATTAAAGGCTTCTATTTAAAGGAAAAAGCAATAAACAGATAGAACCTAGGGGGTTTTTGTTGTTTTGTTTGTGTTTTTGTTTGCACTGGGGATTGAACCCAGAGGTACTATACCACTGAGCTGTATCCCCAGCCCATTTTTATTTTTGAGATAGGGTCTCACTAAGTAGCTTAGGCTTGCCTTGTGATTTTTCTGCCTCAGCCTCTAGAGTTTCTGGGATTATGAGTGTGCACCACCACACCTGGCTAAATTCATGCTTTGAATTTCTTGATATGGTCCCTGTTTTATAATGGGATTTAAGTTTACAATCAGGTTTAACTGAATCAAATAATTAAAAAGCGACTGGCAATTATTATTTTACACATATAAACACTGATAATATAAATGATTATCTCCAGTTTCCTCAGATCAGAGATAATATAAGACAGTAAGCTAGAAGAGGAGAAACAAAATTAATTTGTTTTTCCTACCTATAGCTCTGGAGACTGACAGACTTCCATTCACCCTCCAGGCACCAAACCAGACTACACAACCTCCAAGGGCCTCAATTCGCTGTTTTTCATCCTAAAGAGCAAAGCAATAAAAAGAAGCTTACTGGATATTCAGGATTGATTCATCTACTTTAATAGTTAACAGTTTAAATACTCATCAGCTTCCTGARAAGCTTCTCTTGTGGAATATAGGCACAACTGCTGAGATTAATGGCAATAATTATAATAATTGAGTGAATCCTAATTAATAACTAGAAAACTGCCTCTATGACATGTGCTCCAATAGAACAAACCATACGTACCTCTCTGTCTGGTTTGTGTGGTTTCATTAGTTCAACAGCTTGGCCCTTTCTCACAAGCATTACCTGGGAATCACCCACCCAGGCCACATGTAGCATGTTGCCTCTGATAAAAGTCACCACTCCTGTGGTCCCACATCTTAAGCTCTGAAAATAGTTTAGATAAAACTAGAGTCAATGAAAATAGACACCAAATTTTCATTGAGAAACAATTTATAATTGAACTATTCATTTGGAAGGTAGACTATTAGGCAGTTTCACAAATACATAGCAACTCATGTTTTTCCGTGCATTTTTATATGCATGTTTGTCTTATTAACCACATACACAAATCTACCTGATGTATAATATGCAAGATAGGGGATGATTAATTCCATTTTAAATACAGATTTTTTAAAAACTGTTTGGGTTATGTGACTTGTCCTGAGAGCGAGAGCAGGTAATTTTAGTACACAAAACAGAGGTGAAATTCTTTTTCCTTCCAGTACATTGCTAAATCCACTATATCAAGCCTTAAAGATTTCCATATTCTAGTCTCTGTTTCATTATTGACCTACTATATGTTCAATAGGTATCCCAGCTATACAAAGTCCCAAAATAAGGAGCCAAGAGATAGCATACATTCCCTGAAGTACTAAAGGTGCTTATACCTTTGGGGGTAACATTTTTTTTTTAATGTGTCTACAATATTTTTAGGGGCCTTTGTTTTTGAAACATTGCATAAAGAGTAATAGCCTGGAATTTCACTGCAACATCTACCATTATACTTAAAACCCTTGATCCTAAGATACTAAAATGATATCTCCATTTGACATGAGTCACCACCAAATGAGCATGACTTTCTGTTACTAAGGACCTGGCCTAAATTAGAACCAATGCGTCAGGGGTGGTAAAGGGCTCCTTATATCCAATGAGAAAAACAACTTCCTTATATAGGGAAAGTTTGTTATAAATCCTCACCCACCGATAAAATATCTTCCCACACAGAATGTTCACCAACTCAGCCCTCTGGAACACATGATAAAGACACTTCAATGCATATGCCCTGGAATGAACAGGAGGCTGGGCTGCTTCACAATAGGAATAGCTACTTTTTCCCAGCAGTTAGCAGCACATGGAAGCATAAGGAGAAAAGTGACTAGTGGGACAATTTATAAATTATTGGAAAGATCTATCGGTGAAACTGAGATGCTAGGACCATTGAYAAATTAGGTAAAACATGGTCAAAAAAAAGAGAGGGGGATAAATATGGCCATAATTTTTATAAGACAGAAGAAAAGGAATAGACTAGAGGATGAAAAAGACAAAGCAATTTGTTCAGAATGTTAAGAGCCAGCAGCTTCAAGAGAGGCAGAGCTGCACAGTGCCAGTCCTCAAGAGACTGGGAGGATATGAGGTTAACTGTTGTTAACTGTTGTTTTTCCAGCTGCACATCTGTTTGTACACCCTAGTAGTTACTGTTGTTGGATTTTCATATAAATTGAAACTTGAGGGTGGGTATCAAAATACATAATATTTCTCTTGCTTAATACAAGGAGTTTTGAATTATTGATTCATGAATTCTGAGACCCACTATTGCTTTGCAGCATAAGTGTAAGATTAAAGAAATGGATTAAATGATTACCCTGATCTTCCCACAAGAGTTAATGTTTAAGTCACGTGACAGGAGTGGTATTTTTGTGTAATTAGTTTTAAAAACTAGAAGGTAGTTGGCCCCCAGTTAGTCCAATATAGAATACTATACTTACGTGCCAGAATGATACTTAAAAGTTTTTACTTTTAGAGCTTAATACAGAGCCCCTATATTTCATTCACAATTAAAAATAGATCTGATTAACCTTAGGACATGAGCCTGACTTTTCTTCCTGCTAAGATCTGATCAGATCAAGGATCATCTAAGGATTTATCCTCTTCAAACAAATTTTCCAAGAGACACACAGCAAAACACTGCCTACACATTTAGATCCAAAGGTACGSAAGTAATTCTAGTTTCTCTTTCTTTTTTAAAACCATTGTTCTATATTCACCATATCCAGATCTTCTCAGCAATAAAGCTCAGAGAGCTTTTTGGTCCTGATATGAACCTGACAGATGATAGGAAAGATAAAACTCTCCTGCCAGGGGCTGGAGCTGTGGCTCAGTGGAAGAGTGCTTGCTTAGCATGGATGAGGCACTGGGTTTGATTCTCAGCACCACATATAAATAAATAAAATAAAGGTCCATCGACAACTGAAAAAAATCGCTTGCCAAATCCAGCAATGAATGAATCCAGAAAATTATAGCTTGATTGTTTCTATAGGGTATGTCATTATACCCCACTAAACTATTCCTGAAGAGGGAATTAGATTCAGAACAACTGAATCCAGCACCATGGGTCAAGAAGATATAGTTTAGATAATGTCTGCCCAGAAAGAGAAAAGTCCAAAACAGCCCTTTTAACCAAATAGAACAAGGTGAGTTCAGCTAGGACATTCATAGCTGGAATTCATGGGAAAGGGCATACCTCCCTAGCTGCCTTCTGCACAAACCGCTCATCAGTGACCCGGAAGGCCCGGCACAGAGCCTCAGCAGGATCATGGGGAAATACCTCTTGGCGTACTAAATTAACATGTAGGTGAATGGAAGCGTAAATGGCAGCATCTACTCCCCCATGGCCATCAAACACTGCAAAGTAAGCTTGTTCTTCCTGATCCTGTTGATAGAAACACAGAACAGTTAAGAATTATATACAGTGTGGTTCAAATGAATCAATCCCCAGGAAACATTGTTGTCCATCCTCCTTCTCTATGGCATTTGTCATTCAGATTTAAGGTTTTCCTTTTCTTAACATGCCTTTTCAACTGCTGAAATACCTGCAAAATTAGGACATCTGTGTTTACCCATTGAGCACTGGAACACATCATGCCCAATTAGCTCAGGCTGAAGTGCCCTCTCTGTGAAAGTTGTTGTCTTGTACCATGGAAACCACCCACATACTTTACTTCAAAATTGCTGTTACAAGTTGGTGAGGGGTGGAAGAGAGGGTATGAGGATGAATTGAGTGCTTTTTTCAAAATGCCAGAGAACAATAGGAAATAATTGGCCTTCCAGCACAAGGCCAATTAATGTTCAGGTTGTTTAGAAAATATACACACAAGTTCTAAACTATAATGTCTCCTTTATAATCATTCATGGTCAGATCGAGTTTTCATAAATAGCATAGTTAGTTAACCAAACTTGAACCACATCAGATGCCCAAATGCCCTGTGGGGCTGACATCTTTGCCTTGCCCCAAGAACTAAGATTTAGCTTCACATTTTCTCACAAAGGTCAACCGCCAGGGGAGGCTCTTCTAACCTTTTGCTTTATCTTAACAAAGGAAGCCTCATCCTAGATTTACATTTTGACCACTAAGTAGTTTAATTATTCATCTTTAACTCAAGTGTTTAAATCTGACTTAGGGGACCTATGATTCATTCAAGTCTTACTGAGTCTTGAGCTCCCCTTTAGGTTAACAATAAGTATGGTTTTTATTTGCAAGTCTGTTCATTTCTCTTTCATTAGGGTCTAGGACTCTTATAGGAATTCAGAGTCTGTCATTGATTTTTAAGCAATCATAATTTTCCCACTTGTTTTCTCATGTTCGGTAGAGTTGAGTTTGAAAGAAATATTAAAACGGGGTATATCTGTGCTTTGAAAAAGTTCTTTTTTATAAAAGTACCAAATACAAAGGTCCATAAAGCAATCTATGGCTAAAACTCATTATGACTAGTTCATTCTGCAATTTAAACAACACCATGTAGAAGGTCATTGAAGACTGACTAAACAATTGTCTTGAAAAACCGTTTGTGTAGAATTTCTATCTATAAAGCAATACTCATTTTTAAACAACTCAGTATGGCACTGGAAGAAATAAAAGGGAGCTGAGTGGATTTCTTTAGAAAGTAGTGTATACTTTTTTAGAAAACATTTATTGACATTTTCCTTATAAATATGATAATTTATGAAAATAAAGAAGTATGGGGGCTGTGGTTGTAGCTCAGTGGCAAAGCACTTGCCTAGTATGTGTGAGGCACTGAGTTCGATTCTCAGCACCACATATATATATTTTATTTATATAAAGGAAGTATGAAAAACCTATAATCCTACCACATGATTTTAAATTCTTTTTTTTTTTATGGTGGTATTGGGGATCGAACCCAGGGCCTCACACATGCTAGACAAGAGCCATATCATTGAGCTTATACATATATTTTTTTAAAAAATAAAATTAGGATCATAGTGTACATAAAATTGTATGTACTTTTTGTCATTTATACAGCTTATGAGCATTGATACTATCATTTCCTTGAATGATTTAGGTTACTTCTAATTTTTTATTATTAACATATCAATCAAGAACTCAGGATGCAGCTAGCACATGCAATCCCCAGTACCACAAAAAAATACATGTCAAACAAAATATAAAGGTAAGGCTTGCCAGGTGCAATGGCACATGCATGTAATCCCAGTGGCTCAGGAGGCTGAGACAGGAGGATCACAGCCAGCCTCATCAATGGTGAGGTGCTAAGCAACACAGCGAGACCCTGTTTGTAAATAAAATACAAATATAGGACTGGGGATGTGTCTCAGTGGCCAAGTGCCCAATTTTAATCCTGGTACCAAAAAAAAAAAAAAAAGGTAAGGCTTTTATGCATTTCTATTATCTTATAATTAAAAGTGAAATTATCCTATTTGTGAAAATTCATAAAATTCTAAATACTTGTTACCAAATAGCTCCCAAAGCTTGTTTTACAATTAAAAAGGTGTTCCTTTCTGAGTTAGGCCTTTGGGCTGTTTTAAATTTAGAGGCAAACTAAAAAACCAACCAAGTAAAAAAACTTGCAATAAGATGCTCAAATCAGAATATAATATTTAAGTTGATATAATGATAAAAACATTGTTTATCACCTCGGCTTTGGGTTAGGTTTGCATGAGCATGGATTTGGAAACAGATATCAGCTAATATCTTCATAAGCACCAATTACCAGCCAGTCATCACTGTCGATTAGACCTTGACAGTCACTAAAAGTTATTTAACTGCTGAAGGAAGGAAATACTGTGCTTTGTGTAAATCACTACATTGTATTTTTTAAGTTATGGACTTTAGTGAAGAGGAGAGGCAAGTGACAGGCAAAGGAAACAAACCTACCTCTGTTTGCATTAACATAATACATTTAATAGAAAAAGAGGAGGAAGTGATCAAGAAAATGGTTATTAAGCTGACAAGGCTCATGTGGATCTTTGTCAGTCACAGAAATTCGTAAAATGTAATTCCAACTACTTTCCCATCTCAGAGACCAAGACTTAAAAAAAAAAAAAAATCACACAAAATCAAAAAACTGTCTCAGTTTAAATTTACTCCGTATGTTTGTGTTGCATATGGTAATGTAGTGTTATGGGAATTAAATAGTATTTGATTATATCGTAGAAATATTTTCCCTAAAAAAACAGCTTTATTAATGTAACGGTTTCATTTTTTACTTATATGTTTATAGAACAGCTCTAGAAGCTTACACAAGAAACTGGTAGCTTTCCTTGCTTCATGGAGGGGAACTGGATAAGAGACAAGGATAAGAGAGATTTTATTTTCCCAATTTTGAATCATGAAATCTATTCAGAATAGCAGTGATCCCAATTTTGAATGATTTGAACTTAATCAAAATAACAAATAGTTCCTTTTCTGTTATATAATGCAAGCACATTTATTCTACTTTGCAGTTTATCTTACTCTAACCTATAAGAGATACTATTAGAAATAAATTAATTCTTCTTTTCTAACAGGACCACCAAGGTGTTCCTTTTGTTATTTTTAAATGTCACTGACTCTCCAGAAGTACCCTTTACCTCTAAGTTGAAGAGCATATTAAAGTCAGGAATGCAGACATGTTTGTCCTCCATTTTCCTGCGCATGTTTTTGATGGCATGGATTGATGTTTCATAGTAAAGCTGGGGTCTCCTGCGGAGAGGGAAGTCTTTCACCCAGCTGCAGCAAATCTCATGTAGTTTGCTGAAGACAGAACGGGCCAATTTCACTGTCTCAATCTCTGTGAAAGAAACAGAAACCCCCAATAAAAAGCCTTGTAAAACTGCTTTTTACTTGCCTGCTTAGTAAAGACAGAAGTAGGTCACCTTAGTCAAGCTTCTTAATAGAAGAAATTCTTCCTTCTCAAGAAAAATGAAATGCTGCTTCTGAAAAGAGAAAATGACAGCCTGTCTAATAAAAAATCATCTGCCAACACTGACACTAAAATATCCTTATGTTCTAAGGAGAAAATCTCCAGCCACGGCAGGGCCTGTTATGAACTTGATTTCTCTCCCAGCCTGGGGAAATATTCTGGCTACTGTATTTACAGCACCCTTTTGTTGACTGCTATGAGTATGACCTGGAGAAGCAAGTCTCTGAGGCTTAGAAGGATGACTAGTATGAACCCTGGTTATCCAGCTTATTGGAACGAGAAAGGCTTAGGAAAACAGCTTACAAACTACASAATAGGAAKAATTCACCTTGAGTACCAATTTGTCTTTGTCCCTCTCCTTCTTCCAGACTTCTTTCCTTATGTACAGTCCCTTAAATTCTCTGGCCCCTGTAAATGATTATTTGGATCTGAATTATATATTTTTTGTTATTTCATATGTTTATTAGGATTTTAGGCAATAGTTTAATTCATTTAGTCAACAGGCTAAATTGTGAGTTAAATGTTTTAGATTTCACAAAGGGGAAAAAAAAGTACTTATATTCTGTCAGTGACAACCTGGATAGAAAAAAGGAGATAGCAATCAGAAGAGCAATACTAACAGGATTCTTCACCTTCGGTCTACTATTTCACCCTATGTCTCCACTACTTGACCCAGTGTAGGCTAGATAACTTTTACTTACTTATTGTAGTGCTTGGGGATGGAACCCCGGGACCCTTTACCACTGAGCTATATCCCCAGTTTTTTTTTTTTGTTTGTTTTTTTTTGAGACAGGATCTCAACTAAGTTCTTCAGACTAGTCTTGAACTTGATCCTCCTACCTCAGCCTTCTGAGTTCCTGGGATTACAGGTGTGTGCCACCACACCTGGTATAGACTAGCTGACTTCTGAGACAGACTTGTATCCCTCAGTAGACTGTTGAATGCATAAACATTTTAACCACACTAAATGGCATACTAAAGAGATCATATCACATCATTTAACCATCCAGTCAAGTTGCAGCTATTGGAATAATCAAGAGGCAATTAGATTTTCTCAGGTCAGTATTTTAAAGTTCTCCTATATCTCAGGTTAAAAAAATTTTTTAATTATTTTACTTTACTAAATCAGATATAGCTTGACAGTCTGAAATATTTTAGAAAGTTCTCCTACATCTCAGGTTAATTTTTTTTTAATTATTTTACTTTACTAAATCAGATATAGCTTGACAGCCTGAAAAAATGTGTGCCAGATGGGCAGTGGCTACAGATGCCTTTAGCAATCCAGAACATAGATCCTGAAGAAAAAAGACGATATGTTCCCAACAGCCTGGGAACGTGGACTCCTGTCCTGCCCTTGCTTTAATCTGTGACTCTATTTACCTGTTTTTTTTTTTTGGTAAAACTCTTTTTTAATTAACTATATTCAGAAAGCTGACCTCACAATGTTATTCTTTTTTTTTTTTTCCACTATTAACAGTACAGGGTGGCAAATCTTGTCTTGAGGCACTGTCCACCTAAACAGTTTTATATAACTGAAAATCAAGTGTGCAACTAAAGGAGAAATAAAGTTCAAAGAGCAAATACAGGCTGAAGAGTATGTACAAGAARAAAACTGAAGCCAATAAATAACCCAATATTTTGATAGTTTTGAGCAATTCTTTTTTGTTATTGTTGTTTTAAGCACCAGCTGCCAGAGATTATTTCTTCTTTTTTAATTTTTGTTTTTGCAGTTCTGAGGGTTAAACCCATAGCCTCACAATGCTAGGCAAGTGCTCCACCATTGAGATACATTCCYAGTCCTAAATAATATTTCTTTCATCCAACAATGACCTACTTGTATCACTRTAACCCATCTGGTCCTGGCAGCAGGAAAGGTCCCCAATGCAGACCCTGAAGTGGATATGTCCTTATTTGACTCAGTCAGAACAGAAGATTACAAAATAAATGAATTCAGAATGTTGGAGGGTAAATGGGGTGCGATAAAACAAATAACTGATACTAACAATTAGAACAGTTCCCAGATAATAATATAAACCACTGCATCATTCTTTGGTTTGTATATTACTTATATAAACATACACGGTCCATCCAATAAGGCAGCCAGTAGTTACATATGGCTATTTAAATTAAAATTAAATACAACTTAAAATTCAGGTTTTTGGTCACAATAGCCATATTGCTAAATAACTACATTGGCCAGTAGTTACCACACTGAACAATACGAGTAGGGAACATTTACATCATTGCTCTATCTGTTGAGTAGAACTGATTAAGGTTAATTTGGTGAAGAAAAGCAATACCAGTTTCCTGCAATATTCAGTAACCACTAGAGCTGTCTACTCCCTTTCCCAGTTGCTCATTTCCTTATGTTCCCATTATACTACACTATTATAATTCTTTTTTTAAAATTTTTTGTTAGTTGTAGATGGATGCAATACCTTTATTTTATTACTTTATTTATTTATGTGGTACTGAGAATCGAACCCCAGTGTCCCACTCATGCAAGGCAAGCACGCTACCATGAAGCCAGAATCCCAGCCTCTATAATTATTCTTAACCACATTTTATAACAATAGATAACATTTATTGAGTATTCACTACATTCTATAGAACATTTCACAAACATGTAAAATCATTCTGATTTTGTTATTTTTGTTGTTGTTATTATTGTTTGTGGAGTTGGGGATCAAACCCAGGGCCTTGCACATGCTAGGCAAGTGCTATACACTCCTAGCCCAGGTAAAATCATTCTTAATCCCAGGTCACACTGTGTCTTTTGTCCTTGATTAGCACTGTGTCTTTTGTCCTTGATTAGATTACAGTATCTACACAGAAGAGTATCATTAGATGTTACTTGAATAAATGAAGATGTAAGCTATTATATAAAATATTATATAATAATACATGATTCTTGATTTTCCATTCAGCTTCACTCATCTCTCCATCCACTTCTATAATGGTAAATAACCTTAAAATATGTTTTAATATCAGGAAGACTTATTTTCCTATTATTACTTTAGTTTCAAAAGATGTGACTTAGGCAGTTTGATCCCCATTCTCCCATGAACTACCTAATCATTTTGCCAAGTTTGGGCAGAAAAACCTGTTGCCATTGTGTTTGGGATAACATTGAATTCATAGGTTAAGCTGGAAAAAACTAAAATATTTCATATTGAGTCTTATTCAGGAATAAATTAATTGAATTATATATTTTTTTTCTTCTTTTGGTACTGGAGATTGAACTCTGAGGTGCTTAATCACTGAGACATATCCCCAATTCTTTTTATATTTTTATTTTGAGATAGGGTCTCACTCAGTGGCTTAGGGCCTAAGTTTCTGAGGCTGGCCTTGAACTTGTGATCCTCCTGTCTCAGCCTCCTGAGTCACTGGGATGACAGGCGTGTGCCACCCACTCTGCTCCTTGTTCATTAATTTAAATCTTCTTTATGTTGCTCAGCTTTTTTGTTGTTGATTCCCCCTACCACCTGATTTAACCCCAGGAGTGCTTAACCACTGGGCCACATCCCTATCCCTTTTTATTTTGAGGCAGGGTCTAAGTTGCTTAGGGCCTTGCTAAATTGCTGAAGCTGACCTAGAACTTGCAATCCTCTTGCCTCAAGCTCCCAAATCACTGGGATTACAGTCATGTGCCACCATATCCATCCATGTTGCTCAGTTTTGATATAGGTTCTTCCTATTTCTTTGTGTGAGTGTATATGTTATTGGGGATCAAGCCCAGGGTTTTGTGTATGCTAGGCAAGAGTTCTAGCATTGAACCATACCCCCAAGCCCAAATTGTCCTTGAACTCTAGATCTTCCTGCCTCAGTTTTCTGAGTAGCTGGAATTACAGGCATGTGCCACTTTGCCCAGGTTCATATTTCCTATCAGTTTATTTCTAGTTATTTTATCTATTTGCTATTTGACATCAGAACTTGCTCTAATTTATTACACATATGCACATGGATTGAAATAGCAAATGTTGCTCTTTTTCCTTCTTGGTCTCAATCCACGTGCATCCTATGGTAAAAGGTGATACAAGTCTAACCAACTAGAGAATCATGTTCCTCTGGCCACAGTGATTGGTTCAGGAATRGATAACTATCCAAGTTGGGCCAATTAGAGCAAATTCTGTGATTTATGTAAGAGCAATTGAGAAAAGCTACTATTGTTTTGTTCAACTTTAACTTGGGCAAATGAAGACATGTTGCTCCCATCAGTCATCTTGCTACCACATGGAGCCTGAAAATAAAATCAAAATGTTAGAAAGTACAGCTTAGAGTTGGAGAAATACCAGCTTCTGTTGACATCATTTGAAGGTAACTGTGCAGTCCTTACTGTGGAACGTAGCCAATAAATTCTGCTTTGCTAAAGCTAATTTGAGTTGTGCTTCTGGCCACTTAACAACCAAAAAATTCCTAAGTGTACATTAACATAAATGCTACATTTTGGTTTGAGCCAAATTCTGTCCTATCATTGTGGGACATATGGTCAATAATATCTACTGAATTAATTAATGGTCAATATACAAATATTTTAAGATTGCATTACTAAGGCTGAGCCGTCATTTCCTCTTCTACTTTTGTCTAAGGTAGGTTTGGGTATTGTGTTATGCTACACAAATTTTTCTTAATTGTGTAATTAGAATGTCCATTCTAAAAAGCATTGTAATACCTCTTTGGTCATTCCAAAATATTCACCGATTTGGTCAATCCYTATGTTTTTGTCCTTGACAGTGCCTCTTTTTCATTTTAAGTAAACTTTGTTCATTTATATTTTTCCAGTAAGTATTTAGGTTTTCACATATATTTATACAAACATCAAAATCCTCTTAAATTCCTCCATATTAGTGATAATTTTCCCTTGTGTTTTTAATTTTCAGTGGGATATTTCAAATTAGTTTCAGGTGGTCTGAACAAGGTTACATCTACAAAATAAAATTTGTACCAAGTCAGATATGCAAGTTTACTTAGCAGACATACTGTTAGGTATGACATTAATATGAAAAGAACTTTAAGTTAAGGATTTTTTTTTTTTAAGTTTCTTTTGGAAACAGCTAAGACGAGGAACAAACTGGTACTTCATTGGGGACCTTCGGTATCTTTAAGCTAGTGACTTCGGGGGAGGGGGGGCGGCTGGGATTGTGGCTCAGTGGTTGAGCGCTTGCCTAACACGTACAAGGCCCTGGGTTCAATCCTCAGCACCATATAAAAATGGATAGATGAAACGAAGATATCATCCAGTTACAACTAAAAAATAAATGTTAAAAAGCTAGTGACTGCAGGCCTTATTCATTATGCTCATGTCCCACTCTGATATATGAATTATCACAATAGTCCCTATAGCAATTCACRCCGAGTAATTTGGATTAATTTGGATTAAACTGATTAAAGATTTGCCAATAGTTTAGAATTACAGTACAGTATGAATCACAGCAATAGAAGAAGACATTACTGAGTAATATCTTGGAAAAATACAAAATTAGAAAATAATATCTACCAAAAGAAAAACCCTTCATTTTACTTTCGCTATCTTCTGGGGTTCAGAAATTTCTTCCAAAATAGGCATATAGGGTAGGACTTCARTCTTGAAACATTAAGTGTTCTTCTGCAGGGAATGGTGGGTATCAGTACATAAATAATTGCCACATGAAACGGAAAAATAAAATAAAAAGGGGGTGTGAAAAAGTGAAAATCGTTCAATGTAGCAGTCCACCCCCTCACAGCTGTAAATTATTCATCAGTCGCTAATGTCATTGTACTGAGCTGGAGCTGAGTCAGCCATCATGCCATGTACAAGGCTCTGTGCTTTAGGCATCAGTACCAGAGGAAAGACCAATGCTTTGTAGCAGGAATCCTATCCAGCTTGACTCTGGAACAGTTTGGTTCCAGGTAAATCAATTACTCTCACTAAAAACAAGCAGAGTAATTCCTTCCTTGACAACTTTCTGTAAAAAAAAAAAAAAAAAAAAAAAATCTAGAAAGATAAAGAACAGGAATGTTTATTTTTGTATCTGCCTCACATTCTCTGGAATCTAGCCATTCCAATTCAAATTAATAATATACTTCATTCCTTATTTACCTTATAAGCAAATATTTATAACAGAACAAACAGCATGAACTAGTAAAAATTCCTTAAAATTGGGGGAGTTGTGTGCTGGAGACATAGCTCAATAGTGGAGCACATGCTTGACATGGGAAAGGTCCTGGGTTCAATCCCCAGCATCAAAAAACAGAGGGGGCTTAGAGTAATAGTTCTCTAATTTTTACAAAAATCTTTTCTTTCAATCCTGTCAAGTGTATAGGCCTAATACATTAACAAATACGCATTAAGAAATTGAGGCTAATACTATTCCTGGAAAAAAAGACTGTTGACCCATACAATTAAACTACACGTTACATGCCTGTCATTAAGAGCTGGATTCACTGATAGACACAAAGTATAACTAATGAGAAGTTTTGTTACAACTCATTTCTTAAATTTTTATATCTGATTTTTAACTTAGATTTTAAATTTAAATTTTTTAAATGGGTTTTGTTCAAACTTGCACCTCATCCACTTATTGTTGTGTATTCATATTTCTCACTACTTTTTCCATTTATCTACATATTTTTATGACAATCTCCTGTTGTTATAGTTACCTTCCATATACTACTACACTTTTTCCAAATACATTTGTGTTCTCTCACTTCTTTTCTCTTTTTATTGATTTATTTGATAAAAATTTTTGCATTTTTTTCTCTACTCTATAATCAACTAGTGGGTAAATGTAATTAGATTTAGTATTTGCAGATATATTCTGTGGACCATTACACGTGATTTTAGGATTTTTAAACAAATAATGTACAAAGTACTTACCCACACTCCCTTCTGTGCCATCCGTTTCCTTTGGGATATAATGTGCAGAAAGATCACTTTGAAGCACTTCATCTGATGTGGCTCTGGCTAACGCAGCAGCCAAAAATGAAGGGCAATTACTGAAAGAGAAAAATAAAGGCAATTTTCAGTAAAAATTAGGAAATCATACATTGAACATTAATAATTATATTAGTAATAACACCTCAAAATTATACCTTTAAACAATATTCAAGTACTTATTTTTGTGCTATTGGAGACTGAACCCAGGGACACTCTACCATTGAGCTATAACCCTAACCCTTTTTATTTTTCATTTTGAGATAGGGTCTCACACCAAGTTGTCCATACTGGCCTTGACCTTGCAGTCCTCTTGCCTCAGTCTCCCAAGTACTGAGATTACAGGTAATAAGCCACCACACTCAGTCTTACAAATATTTATTGAGGATGTATTGTGTGGTTAAAAACTCTACTAGGCACTTGGTGTATAACACAGAGATGGCACCTAACCTACTAGGATTTACAATCCAGCTAAGGAGATGATAAAGAACAAATAGGATACAATTAAAATGCAGGAAAAGTTTTATAAAGGAAACAAACAATATAGTGACAGAATAATAAAGGGGGTAGTACCTATGTAGGATGGTCAGGAATGCCATTCCTTCGAAAGATGAAGACTCAGTTATGTGGGAGTGGTAAGTCAGGAGAAAATATTTTAGGCAGAGGGAATAGTATGTGTATAGACCTTTATGAAAACTTGGAACTAAAAGAAACTCAGAAGGAGTTCAAGGAACCGAAAGAAACTCAGAGGAAATGAAGCATGGTGGATAAGTACCAAAGCAGAGAATAAAGTTACAGGCTAGGCAAAGGCCAGTTTTGGAGGCTCTCTAGACCATGGTATAGGATTTAGATTTTACTCAAGTGTAGTGAAAATTCACAGATTTTGAGCAAGAGAACGCCTTAGTCACACACGAATTCAAATATTACTTTGGTTGCTGTGTCAAAGAAAATTAGAAGGAAACAAGAATGAATAAGTGTGATTGATAAGAATACAGTTACAAACCAGGTGAMAAATGGAAATGAATTTACTTTAGAGAAAGATAATATAGAATCTGTTGATTATTAATGTAAGAGGAGAAAGGAAAAGAGAAAAGAATTAAAACTTAAGAACTAGATTTTTATCTGAGAAACTAAATGAATGGTATGATCATCTACAAAGAAAGGAAACTAGGAAAATACCAGATTTGTGGAGGAAGTGGGGTAAAGTGGAGGAAGTGGGGTGAAGTAGATAGTAARAGTTCATTTTAACATGTTTATTTGGAAATATCTGAGATAACTTAGTAAAGATATAAAATGGTTAATTGGACATTCTAGTATGGTGTTCAGAAATGTTGGTAAGTTTGGAAGTCACAAACATATGGATGGTATTGAAAGCTATGGAAACACAATGGATCACATAGAGAAAATGTAAAAAGACAACTGTTTTGGAYCAGTGACTTCTATGTGCCTCCTGGTTTCCTCCTTTTGGGATAAGAAGATTATCCTATGCTTTAACATTATATAAGGGGTAATGGGGTGGGGGCTGTATTTGCCTCTTTAGTTCATAGGTTTTCAGATGAAAAAGAACCAAAGAGTGCAAAGAAGAAACCATACCCAAAGAATCTCTACCTGCACCTAGGTCTTACCTCAGTGAGATCCTGAAGCTCAGCCTGAGCATGATGCCAGTCATGGGATTAGACTTCAGGAGACCTTAGGGGAGAGGTGGAGTATATTTAACATATGAGAAGAATGTGAACTATGTGGCCAAAAAAGACTTGGCAAATTGTCTTTCTAAAAGAGGTCGCAACAATGTCAATGGTCCCAGGATTTTTTGTCCTGTGGTTGTGGAGCTCTAACCCAGGACCTCACAGGCTAGTCAAGTACTCTGCCACTGAACTGCATCCCCAGCCCTCATGCTATTATAGAACCTTGACATTTCCCAGAAAGAGGTGGAATCTGTTTCCCTCTCTTTACATGGAGGTAAGACTTGATGACTACTTTGATTTTAAAATGTGGCAAAAGTGATGCTTTGTAACTTCTGAATTTTGGTCAAAAAGGCCACATGGCCCCAGGCTTCTTTCTTCCTCTTTCCCTCTAGATGCTTGCTCTTGGAACCTAGCCACCATGTTGTGAGGAAGCCCAAACCAGCATACATGGAGAAACCACACAAACAGACTTATGTGGATATGAACTGAGGGCCCCGCAGCTACAGTCATCATCAGCTGCTTGACATGTAAGTGCACAGGCCTTCAAGTAATATCAGTTCTCAGCCTAAGTCTTTCAGCTGATGCTCCAACCATCATGGATCAGAATAGGCCAACTCTGTTTTGCCAAGTCTGTAACTCCTGACTGAAAGAAACTGTCATAAAATAAATTATTGCTTTATACCACTAAGTTTTGTGATAATTTGTTACATAAAGTAATTGAAAACCCAATATTTAAAAGCTTGGTAGAAGGGGCTGAAGTTGTGGCTCAGTGGTGGAGTGCTTGCCTAGCATGAGTAAGGCACTGGGTTTAATTCTCAGCACTACATGTAAATAAATAAAATAAAGGTCCATGGACAACTAAAAATATTAAATTTAAAAAAAAGCTTGGTTGAAGATAAGGAACCTATAAAGACTGAAAAGAAACAGCAAGAGAACAAAGAGAGTAGATATTTGAAGGAGGGAGTAGTCAACAGTTCTGCTAAGAGGTCCAATTCATAAGTGAAAAAATGAATACTGAATCTAATAACATGTAAATCATCATCAACTTGAATGTCAAAACAATTCAATGGGGAAAGAACCATCTTTGGTGCTTGGAATAACTGGGTATATATATGCAAAAGAATCAAGTTGGACCCTTTCCTTTTACCATATTAAAAAGTTAACTCAAAACACATCATATGTGCACTGGGAACATAGCTTAATGGTAGAGCTCTTGCTTAACATGTTCAAGTTCTGGGTCTGATCCCCAGAACTGGGGGGGGAGGGTGAAAAAGACAAGTAATAACAAGTGTTGGTGACTCTGGGGGCAATTGGAACACTCATATATCCCTAAGTGTGAATGTAAAATTATGTAGTTCTTTAAAAATTTAAACATTATACCATATGGCCCAACAATTCCATGGGATTAACTTAAGGAGACCTTACAGAGAGGGTGAGTATACATACTTGAGAAATAAAAGCATACTTCATAAAAAAACATGTGCATGAATATACATAACAGTATTATTCATAATAGCTGAAAAGCATAAGTAACCAAGTGCACCACCACCTCAGCTGCAGCCAGTGATTTTTTTAAAAAACATCAGTCCATCAACTGATGTTGGATAAATGAAATGCAGTATATTCATACAATAGAATATTATTCATCCATGAAAAGGAATGGAGCACTTTCCAATATATGGATGAAAACTGAAAACATTGTGAGAAAAGCTATATATTGTAGGATTTTACTTATATTAAAAATCCAAAATAGAAAAATCTAAAGAAATAGTAGCAATAGCTTAGGGCTGGTAGGCAGGAGTGAGGGAGAGCAAGCATGGGGACTTACTACTACTTACTACTACTGCATGAGGTATTTCTTTCTAGAGTGGTGAACATTTTCTAAAACAGATTACAATGATGACTGAACAACTGTGAATATATTGAAACCATGGAATTGTACACTTATATGGGGGGCGGGCAGTATAGGCGATTATACCAAGGGGAACTTAGCCATATCCCCAGCCCTTTTATTTTTTATTTTGAGACAGGGTCTTGCTAAGTTAGCCTTGAACTTTTGATACCCCAAGTCACTGGGATTATAGGCATGTGTCATTGTGCCCAGCTGAATTTACACTTTGGATTACTCATGTTTGTTTTGTTTTGTTTTGTTTTTATTTTTAGTACTGGGGATTGCACACAGGAGTACTCTGCCACCAAGCCACACACTCCTAGCCTTTTTATTTTTGAATAGGATCTCACTATGTTGTCTAGCCTGGCCTCATACTTGCAATCCTCCTGCCTCAGCCTCCCAAGTCATTAGGATTACAGGCTATTATGCCTGGCTCACTGGTGCTTTTTATAAAAATCATTGGCTTAAACTGGAGGTGGTGCTGCGTGCCTGTAATCCCAGCAATTTGGGAGGCTTCAGCAGGAGGACTGAAAGTTCAAGGCCAGCCTCAGCAACTTGGTGAGATCCTGTCTCAAAATAACAAGGGCTAGGGATGTAGCTCAGTGGTAAAGCCCACCTGGATTCAATCCCCAGCACTCTTTCCTGCCCCCAGATCCATTGGCTTTGTCAAAAAAAAAAAAAATTCACTGAATAGGAGATAAAATCAAACTAGAATGAATTGATTTGTGGTAGGACGWAAGTAGGTTTGGCAGAGAGGGGAAACGATATATGGGGGAATAACTGATAAAGAACATGTAAGACAGGGAAAGGTTGTTGCTCTTGTTGTTTTAGCACAGTGTAGAGTCTGACTATGTATGAAATGAAATGATCCAAAAGAGAAAAACTGAGAGTCAGGTGTGATGGCACACACCTGTAATGCCAGCATCTCAGGAGGCTGAGCAGGAGGATCCTAATTTCAAGGCCAGCCTGCATAACTTAGTGAGACTGTTTCAAAAATGAAACTTCCCTGAAGTTCCCAAAGAAAATGATACCTTTTGTATAATTAAGCTATCTGGATATAGGTTCACCAAAGGTAAGAATACGAAAAACTTTAGAGAATAAGACAAGAACCATTAGTCTCATTAATATGTCATTTGCAGTACATTTTTAGTCACAGTTAATGTAATTTTTTACTTTTTGTCAGACAGAATGAAAATATTTTCAGTAAAATAGGGAGGAGGATTAGATGACTAATAGCTAGATATAAAACATCAAGCTAGACACTTCACCCACATCAGCAATTCCTACATGTCAAAAAACTAGTTAGTGAGAATAACTTCTCAYAGTTTTGACTCTGAATTGAAAATTATTTCTGAAAAATCAGAATTTCAAATATATTTTTAAAACACAGTCACATCAGAGAATATTTGATACACCTCAAATAAAAGCTTATCACTAATGTTTGCCACTTTAAGATAATTAACCAGGAATGACCAATATAGCAAAC